TTGTAGTGTATGCTACTGATGTCGATAGATATAAGTAGTATATATCATACATTGAAAGTGAAATGTCTCATGTCAGAGGGTTAAGAAGATCGAGCATAATGAAGTCTGAAACGATTGACTGACATTTTGTAGGTGAAGTATTTACTACATAATTCTCAGAGGTTACTAAGAGGTTCCATATTCAATTGTCCTTACTTATGTTCTCATTCACTCTAATACCATTAATTAGTAAGTAAATTTAATGGAAACATTTTCAGATTTACGAATGAATTTGAATATTGTGGGGACTCTTAAGCAGTGCTGGTTCAGTGGTCTATCGGTTAAGTGCTATGGCGCGAGACTTTTAGGTCCTGAGTTCGAATCTCGCAAGGCGAGGTCGTGAATTTGAATATATTAGATATTTCAATGTTAGATGAATATCGAATAATCTGAATGATTACTTTCAATTACGTAATATGAAGTTACAATAAGATTCTGTATTTGATTTTCCTTACTTGTGATGATGGCGTAGGTGTATACACTCTTTATCTTCCCTTAAACCTTGAGATTAAAATTGCTTCATAACTTTCTTACTTCCTATACTATATCCTTATATACTACTACCACTAAATTAAGTAATTCTATGAATTTGGTGTTCATCTTGTTGTGCTAACGAGGTATGGCAACTTGGACCGATGCATAAATGTGACTGGTCCTACGTTGTAGCTGACTGACTGACTGACTGACTTGTGATGATCACTTTCACTTACGTAATATGGACTTACAATGAGTCGTCTGTTTGATTCTCAAAGGCTTAAAACAAAGTTTTACAATTAAAATAGTTTGATTGAGTTAATTTCAACAGATTTGAGGTGTTTAGAAAGATTCATTTTTCCAGGAGATTTAAAGTTAACTTTACAAATGATAATCAAAATATGGTGAAGTTATATTACATAACCAATTAAATATTCTTATCAGAAGAGGGGTTTTGTGGAGATTCCTGTATTTTCATAGTTGAAAGTGTTAGTCAATTGAAGTTAGACCACAATAAGATGAAACGGCCGTCCAGTGCTTCTAGGTTTTCTCTGATGATGGTCTAGCTTCAATTGACTCATGATCTTAACTATGAAAATAGGTATTGATCATCATATGATTTTAATAGGATAATATGAATCTATCATTTTTATCTTTGTGGAAGGAATAAATCAACGAAGTTAACTGTTATAACCTGAAAATCAAGAATGTTCGCCAAATGTTCGCCTTGTGAGGAGACATTTTCATCAAATAATAAGATATATATTAGTTTATCTTCAATTCTATATAGTGCTTATGAAGTAAGTATAGATAGAATATGTATTACATCAGAAGAGTTGAACAAAATGTTTATGAACATTCACAACATTAGAATACTATGAATCGAAGAAGATACTAAAATGAAACAGTCGTCCACTTCTCTTAGGTGTTCAATGATAGTTCAACATTGATCGACTCATGAACTCAATCAAAACTCAACAGTGTCCACAACTTTATACTGAAGAAATTCTTAACATTGATATCTCTTATATATATAAGAAAAGATCATATACGTATCAATGCCAAGGTTGGACTTCACAGTGTCAAATTAATTGAACATTGGATAGGAAGTTAATAATGAATATATTTTTGGTTATATTCTAATGAGAAGAAAAAATTGAATTTCTGATGTTTCGTGACTTAATGTAAGCTACTTCTTTAGAGTAAACAGATATATTACTCATTGGAACACAACAAAAAATATATCTATTATTAAGGAAGGTACTTTATACTATACAGTAAGGACGATTCCATTAAATCAGTAATTTGATACTTAACGACTTACATTCCTAATAATATTCAACATATCATATATTCTGCCATTTACATAATCTCATTACTAAGTTATTGGCTAAAAAAACACCAGAGGTAATCTCATTTCACTAATGACTGATATTACTACTTTTCTATTTCTTTTGCTTAGAACATTAAACAATTCAAAAATCATTTTACTCCAAAACTATGTCTTGGAAGATGAAATCCAATTCTCTTAAATTAGTTCATTGTGGTGAATATTTACTTACTTACTTACTTACTTACTTACATACCTACATACCTACTTACTCACTTACTTACTTACCTACGTACTTACTTACTTACCTACGTGCTTACTCACTAACTTACTTATGCCTGTTATATTAAGCATACATAAGAAGTCAAACTAAGATTAAAAGGCAAGCATTAAGGAACTATAGATATAAGATAAAACATACAATGGTTCATATTTATGTAAGAATTAGCCCTTGGAAACAGATGAATTCTATTGTACAATCCCAAAAAAACCGTTTACATGACTACTAATCAATATAGTACTGGGTTCTAGTCCCAGATTGAACATCAACTCTGAGAAGCAGGTACTTAGAGCTGACGAGTTTTAAATAGGATGAAACTCGCGTCCTGTATTCCACTTTTAACCATTATCCATCTTTACTCATATGATATTGTTGTTAACAAATGTTAATTAGAATACTATAGATACATAAGAAAGAAATGGTTAGTTTATTCCTGACTGACTTGTGGTGTGGTCTACTTATATCCATATAAGTAGTATATGGTGTGAGTCAGACATAGAATGTATTTTGGCAGTAGACTGATTAGGAAAGAACTGAAATGAAGTGCAATCGTTTGTAAAATGCATGAGCAATGGAATTAGAGAAGAAACAGTGAAGATTGAAACAATTGATTGTTAATTTGCAAATTGACTATTCATTGTTTGGTTATCAGAATTTACTGAGATAGTCTGTAATCTTTGCTTAAATACATACGATTATCCCCAACCAGTGTTCTGTTCACTACAGATTGACCTATTAATCATAATTGAATATTACATATTTCAAATTCCTTGTCGAACATTTTTACCCAGATATGAATAGATTGATTATTTTATTGAAAAGATTTTTAGTGCAATTCATGGTTACTAATGATCCATATAGTGAGTGAACTCTCATCTACAAAATTTTTTTTGGTAATAATATAATTTTATTTTCGATTGTATAGATTATTCTATTTGAAGATACCTTAAATCACAATTTGAAAACTAGGGAACATTGAATAACTGTTTCCATTATGATATAGTTCTTCTCAATAGTCTAAATTCATAATCCTAACAGAAATAGAATGTAAAGTCTCCAAGCTTAGTGATAATCTACATTTAGACCAGTGAGTTAACATGAAGTAGTTAACATTTCCAATTTCATTGAAGTCGCTATACTTCATGAAGATTATTCAATGACATTTGTAATGATTGTGTTATTTTGATATTTGGACTTTTGAATGCAATGTACCTTCATCACAGTGACATATTTTTGTTGTTGAGGAGAATTAGAATAAGACATAACTCCTTTTAAGTGTCCCTTGGTCTTTAATGATTGTCAAACTGAAGTTAATCAGTAAAGTAAGTTATATATTACCTTAAATGATCAATAATTACAATCCAAGAATGACTGAATGAAATAAATAAAGCCCTATGGATAACAATAAAAGTCAGTGGATTTCATTTGTTTAATTTACTTAGATATATAAAAGAACTTAATGTTAATGTCTTTTATAAGAACATGACATGCTAGTCAATTAGACTGTTGTCAGACAAATTAATGAGTTCGGGAAATGACACTATGCTTTCTTAGTTCTATCATTTAATCATACAGCATTCATGATCCATCTAATCCAGCGGGATCGTGAATGTGAACTGCTGAAGAATCCCATAATAGAATGAAACGGTTATCCAGTGATTCCAGGTTTTCCATGATGATCTAGCTTCAATTGACTGATGATTTCAACTATGAAAATACTGAAAACTTTACAAAACCCCTTCTGATTTATTAATTAACTTCAAAAAGAACTAACCATAAATGATTAACAGCTTGTTCTGAGGAGACTGAATTTGATCGCGGGTTATTTATAGCTGTTGTTTACCGTAGTCAATTATTTAATTCACCAAAATGATTGCCAAATACTGTGCTTAGAATTATTAAAGTATTTTTCAAATAGTAACCCAAAAAAGTGCTACCCCCCCCCTTATCGTAGCATACTTGTTAAACAAATATCTCTATAGTTATTGAAATGGTAAATATCGATTTAGATCTTCAACAAATCTACTAATAGAAGGGGGTTTTGTGGAGATTTTAGTAATTTTTTATCGTTGAAATCATGAATCAATTTAAGCTAGACCATCATGGAAAACCTGGAAGCACTAGAATTTCGTCCTATTGTGGAACTCCTCAGCAGTGCGCATCGATTGATCCTGGGTTCAAATCTCACGAGGTATGATCGGGGATGCGCACTGCTAAGGAGTCCCACAATGAGACGAAACTCCAGTGCTTCCAAGTTTTTCAATTAACTTATGATTTCAACTATAAAATCTACTAACATTGATTTTATGAAGTTAAATTGTTATGAAACACTTACACTACAATCACTAGAACTAATTACTTTAGTTTTATTCCGTTATGTATATTTGTAACGTTTAATTATTATCGTAAATCGAATAACCTAAACGATTGCTTCATAGTATCCATTCATAATGTTATATTGTATGAATGTCAGAAGTAGCAAGTTGATTTGTGAAAAGTTTCAAACTGAATCAAAACAGAGCTGTAGTACTCTTTAATTGTCAATGATTCACTAAATCAGAAGGGGTTTTTTTGTGGAGATTCCAGTATTTTGATAGTTAAAAGCATGAGTCAATTGAAGCTAGACCACCATGGAAAACGTGAAAGCACTGAACAGCCGTTTTATTCTATTGTAGGACTCCTGAGTGGCAGTACACATCCACGACCCCTCCTCACGAGATTCGAACTCAGGACTTACCAGAGCACTTAACTGATAGACCACTGAGCCGGAATCTGATGGTGACATTATTCATTTTAGAAGAGAGTTCATCATATGATGCTTTCATTGAAACATTAAGAAGTACTATTACAAACGCTCTAATTAATGACATTACTTACCTTGTATAGGTGGTTGGATAAATTTTTCTTGTTTTCTTGAATACTTCGGTTTTCTTCTTGGTCTATATTTGTAATCTGGATATGCTTTCATATGATTTACTCTTAAACGTTTAGCTTCATCAATAAATGGACGTTTTTCATTATCTGTTAATAATTTCCATTCAATACCTAATCTTTTACTTATTTCTGAATTATGCATTTTTGGATTAGCTTGTGCCATTTTACGTCGTTGTCCTCTTGACCATACCATAAATGCATTCATTGGACGTTTAACATGTAAATGATTATGCGGATGATGATGATGATGACGATGTTGATGATTTTGATGATGAACTGATGGAAGAGGAGATAGAGGAGAACAAGATGGAGATGTTTGATGATAATACTGATGATGATGATGATGATGATGACTCACTGAAGTCACTGGTGACAATGATGAAAATGTTGTATTCGTTGTGATTGGTGATGATGCAAGTGAAGTTAATAATTGATTATTATCATTACTCGTAGTATTCATAAACATTGTCATCCTATTTGTAACATTCATTTGTTCATAATCATAATCATTATTTGACTCTATTGGATCTAATTGTTCAATAGTTGATGTTGGTATAATTCCTATGGAATTAAAAGATGAATAATAAGAATGATCATTATTCAATGTTTGATGTTGTTGTTGTTTATAATTTGTTATATAATGTATTAATTGTTGCCATAGCAACGGATGAGTATTATTCATTCTGATGATAATGACAAGTAATCGTCTTTCCCCCCTAAACGACTATGTATCTAATGTATATATATATACAAGCATAGATTCAATTCATTATGATATCACTATGAGAATTTTATAATGAACTTACATTTTTATAAAAACTTCTTTTCTTTCTTTCGTTTTTCCAACTACTGAATAGAAATCAGTAGACCTGTTGTTGTTGTTATTATTATTATTAGTGTTAGTTGTTAGTTGTTGTTCATGGTAGTCAAAGTGATAATCGTTTCATAATAGTTTCTTCTTTTGCTTCTTCCCCCCTCTTTTTTTCCTTACTATCTTCGTTAATCTTCACATCCCTTTTATCCTATTAGAGAATGAGTAGTAAATGTAGGTAATAGTAATAATAGTAAGAGCTAACAAAACAGATTGCTTCTTTTTTCTCTTTTCTTTTCTTTTTTTTTCTTTTATTCATTTTCTATTGGTTAAATGTGATTTTTTTGAAGAAAAAAAAGTTTATTTTTATTGTATGAAATTTCTTTTTATTTATTTTCATCTCTTATTTTGATAGTTTTGTTGAAATAGACTTTCATCCCCCTGTGGTTAGTTATCATTGGACTATGTTTCATCTATGTTCTCTTTTTTCCCGTACATAGTACATGTGTGCATGTGTATGTGTGTGTGCGTGTGGTCATATCTACTATTCTTTTCATATGATCAGATTGTAACTGTGGTTTTGGTAGGTGGTAGGGTTTTTGTTGTATATTATGTGTTGCAATATTGTTAATGTATCCACGTAACTTGTTATCCTTTTGTTCCTCTGATTTACTACAGGATAGAAATAACTGTGATTGTGTATCAATTCCATTGTATCCCATTGAAATGTAGTGAGTTAGTGTCTATGTGTGTGTGTGTGTGGACGCGCGTTCATTACATTGACCATTCAGAATAAAGTATTATGTACAGAGATGTTTATCTAACCATCAACTACTTCTTATCAATTCATGTAAAGCAAGATTGTAATCTACGCTATTGCAAGGGATAATAATGATACTACCATTACTACTACTACTACTACTACTACTACTACTACTACTACTACTACTACTACTACTACTACTACTACTACTACTACTACTACTACTACTACTACTACTACTACTACTACTACTACTACTACTACTACTACTACTACTACTACTACTACTACTATTGATAATAATAGTAATAATAATAAGTCATGGATTGGTTGAAGTTAAATACTAACATCGTTAGATGCCAGCCGGCTTAGTAGTCTAGAGGTTAGGCGTTTGTGCGTGAGACCGATAGGTCTTGGATTTGAATCCCACAGGGCGGCATCGTGGATGTGCATTGCTGAGGAGTCTCACACAAGGAAGAAATGGCCGTCCAGTGCTTTTCGGGTTTTCCATGGTGGTCTAGCTTCAGTTGACCAATGAATTCAACTATAAAATTCTCATAACGTTTATAACAATAATAATAATAATAGTTTTTCCTTGATAGTAATAATCATAATACTACTATTATTGATCAGATTAGTGACCATAAATTGACCAGTCATTTATTAACCAGAAACCGCATACTTTCTAGTTTTCATTATCTACCGATGTAAATATTAGTAGAATTGCTGATGATAGCATTAAATAAAAGTAGTGATTCCATTAGTGGCTGATTCATAAATGTTTAGGTCATCTATGTTTTAACTATGTGAATATATTTTATATAGTTGAGATCATGAGTCAGTTGAAGTCAATTGAACACCATGGAGAACCTGGAAGCACTGGACAGCCATTTCGTCCTATTGTGGGACTCGCGAGATTCGAAACCAGGACCTATCAGTCTCGAGCGTGAACGCTTACCCTCTAGACCATTGAGTGAGCTTGCATCCAACGGTGTTAATGTCTAACTTCAACCAATACACAAAATCGAGCGACACATCCACCATTATCTTCAGTGGGTTACTATCTCACAATAGACCTGGTTGAACTCCACTGGTGACTGCTTCTCACTAGAACTCCAAGAAATACCTCATGGTCCTGGGTTCGAATCTCGCGAGGCGGAATCGTAGATGAGCACTGTGGAGGAGTCCCATAATACGATGAAACGGCCATTCAGTGCTTCCAGGTTTTCCATGGTAGTCTACCTTCAATTCACTCATGATTTCAACTATATAAAATTACTAATATCTCCACAAAACCCTCTTCTGATATATGAATATATTGCAACAAACTTTCTAATTGTAGATTTGTTTTACGACTTTCAAACTAGGAAACGGCAATTATGGGTTCCCTGCTAGATAGCACTCATCAGTGATGATTAACTCCTGATAAACTCTATGACATTCGAATTATAGCCATTGTTAGAGTCGATGGTTAGATACTATAGTAGTAAATTGCCAGGTTGTGAGGATAAGTGACACTGATTAGAATCTAAACGAGAACATCAGTTTCTTTAAGGCTGAAGGTAGGCCATGTAACATGAAACCTAGTTCCACAATTTTCTCTCGACTACATCCAACCATCTAACATCAATTATGTCACTTATATCTTATTCAAAATAAAAATCATTTTTGAGAGATACCATTGAAAATATGAATCTAGGCTTAAATATGAGAAGCAGTAACCAGTGGAGTTCAACCACGTCAGTTGTGAGATAGGAACTCACTGAAGACATTGGTGAATGGTTGCTCAATTTCGTGGATCGGTCGAAGTTAGACATTAACACCGTTGGATGCCGACCGGCTCAGTAGTCTAGTGGTTAAGCGCTCACGTGCGAGATTGATAGGTCTTGGGTTGTAATCTCGCGAGATGGGATCGTAGATGAGCACTACTGAGGAGTCCCACAATAGGACGAAACGGCCGTCCAGTGCTTTCAGGTTTTCCATGGTGTTCTTGCTTCAATTGACTCATGATTTCAACTATATTAAATGTATATATTGAACAGAGTTCAAATACACTAGATTCATGGGCGGTAGTATATAGGTAACTAAGGTATAAAACATCCTATAATATCTCTCTATTCTTTTAAGATGAACCTCAGTGTAAACAACTTCCTAGCTGAATAATTTAGTTATATATTTTTATAGAATTTATATTACGCATTATGTAGGATCATTGCATGTATCGAACGTTGGATCTCATTGGCATGTAATTCACCAGATCTAAGTACATATTTTTAACTACACTGTAATTGCAATTGTTCATGGTATCATCTGCCTATCCTCATTGGAAATGACTAAAATTGAATTGAAATCTGTAATCGAATTACTGAAATTTGACTAGTATGTAAACGACTACTATCTAGTATTAACAGTTGTCTAGGCAAGATACTCAATATCCGTCTATAGGATAACATCAGCAACAACTCACTATGGGAGAGAACAAACCAGCTTCCAGTTGAAGAGGAAATTTGGAAAAGACATTGGATGTGGATAGGAAATACATCACGGAAATCATCAAACTGCATCACGAGGTAAACCCTTACTTGGGATACTGAAAGGAATCTGAAAATAGGAAGGCTAAATAACACATTCCGTCGGGAAATAGAAACAGATATGAAAAGGGTGAATAACAACTGGAAAGAACTGGAAAGGATTACCCAGGATAGGGTTGAATGGAGAGTAGTGGTGAGTGGTCTATGCTCTTTTATGAGGGGTAACAGGCATAAGTAAGTTAGTAAGTAGTATCTACAAATGTATATATCACTAAATTATGAAATTTCTTCCAACATATTAATGATGAATTCACTTAGCATTGTTTGTTTAAATCTTCCCATCAATGTTTAGGACGGCAACTGGTCAGTCTCTAATTGGCATATGTGCATACTGTGAGTATTGCTTCGATATAGCCTTAATTCACAAGCATTATAAGCAGAGATGGACTCAGTGGCCGAGTGGATAACGCGATGGCATTTGAAGCGGATGGCACTGGGTTCGAGTCCCAGAGTGAACATCAACAGATCTAAGATGCAGGTACATCTAACTGACGAGTGCCAAATAGGACAACACACGCATCCTGGATTCAACTGCTAGGCACTATCCATCTTTACTTACAATATTAATGATGAATTTCTTACTTAGTTTTAAAATAGTTTTTTCAATTAATGTTAATGAATAATTTAAGGGAATAAGAATTTTTTTTACATTTTTTTAAATGTATACAAGTCAACTACTTAGTTGATGAAGTTGACTACTGATTGATATAAGGCAGGTGGAAACAATTACAACAATGAAAACAGAGGAACATTTCATATATATATATATATATATATATATATATATATATATATATAACATCACTACCCCCCTTTACTAGTTTCATATACCAGTTTAACTCTCATCATCATAAAGTGTAGTTATGTGTATAATAATAATAACCATAAAAAGTATCACTCTCTGTTACCCTATTTTCTTAATCAGTCAGCTTAACAACAGTAATAATAAAGATACTAATCGGGGGGGGGGGGAATTATTACTTCATAATCACTATTCCTAATTATGTTACCCTTGAGAGTAATTTCCTGGACATACATAAATATATATGTGAACAAATAAATGCTAAGCCGAATGTTTACTCTTATACTGGTTGATACACAGAAGTAGTTTAGTGATGAGTAAAATCTGTACTTTAATCATAAATAAAATGAAATGAATTCAAAGGTAAAGTACTTCTTCATGAATACATAATGAGTTCTTCTTCTATGATAAATGTCATAAAATTTGTAAAATATCAAATGTGTACTCTAAAGTAGGAAATTTCTTTATTGTCAAGGTTAAATTTCAACTGACGAACCCCTAAGGATGGCTCGTTGACAAACTCAATGAAGCCTCAGGAAGCCCAGAAATAGCCGAACACATTCTATCCAATCCCCGCTATAGGTCCATCCTAGAGTGTCAACGTGTAGCTCCCCTATTGGATGAATAAGGAGGACCCCCTATGTGCCTAGTGGCTCTTCGAAATGATGATTTACTTTCATAGTTGAAGGCGTGAGTGAATTAAAGCTAGACCACCACTATGGAAAACCTGGAAGCACTGGACGGCCGTTTCGTCCTATTGTGGGACTCCTCAGTAGTGCTCATCTACGATCCCATCTCGCGAGATTACAACCCAAGACCTATCAATCTCGCACGTGAGCGCTTAACCACTAGACTACTGAACCGGTCGGCATCCAATGGTGTTAATGTCTAACTTCAACCGATCCACGAAATTGAGCAACCATTCACCAATGTCTTCAGTGAGTTCCTATCTCACAACTGACGTGGTTGAACTCCACTGGTCACTGCTTCTCACTAGAACTCTTGGATTTACCTCTCGAAGTCAGTCACTAGTGAGCTTCCAGGTTTTCCTTGGTAGTCTAGCTTCAATTCACTCACGCTTTCAACTATGAAAATACTAAATCTCCACAAAACCCTTTCGGATTTACTTACAGTCGATAACTATAAATACATGAGATTTTTGTACTATATTCGACACTGTATTGGTAAATGCATTCCTACTTACTAGTCTTCTGTCTTCTCTCTTGCTACGTTGCGGGTTCGATTGCTCTAGTAGTCTAGTAGTACGTGGAATAGCAAGAATTAATGCTCTAGATATAACAGAAACATTGAAAACAATTAAATAATAAGGGCATATTTCGCCCGAGTATATGACTTACAGAGGCTAATACTCACAATTTTATAAGAGATTAAACATGGGACATATATGTATTTTTCTTAAGAGAGAGAGTTTGAACTTCAATCTTTTAAAGTTAGACCCCATAAGATTTACCTTCAATGACAACTAAGTATTAGTAACGGATATTTGTCCAGTTATCATTGATCACCAAATGATTTCCATGACGTTATGTTTTAGTCAGAATTACTACATCCATTGTCAAGAAGGTACAAGTATTTATAAACAGTTGTTAACGCGAAATACTCAACATTCACTGGCCGGATACTATCAGTAACAGCGTTTTATGGGAGAGGACAAACCAACTTCCAGTTGAAGAGGAAATTAGGAAAAGACATTGGAAGTGGATAGGACATACATTGAGGAAATCACCAAACTGCATCACGAGGCAAGCTGTAACTTGGAATCCTGAAGAGATTCGGAAAAGAGGAAGGCCAATTAACACATTACGTCGGGAAATAGAAGCAGATATGAAAAAGATGAATGTTAACTGGGAAGAACTGGAAAGGATTGCTTGGGACAGAGTTGGATGGAGAATGCTGGTGTGCAGCCTATGTTCCTCGACG